CAATCATGATAACCTTAGACCTACCTTTCTTTCTCTCTTTCCCTTCACTGTTTCCCCATTCTCTCCCCTTCTCCTCTTAGAAAGCCCAAAAAAGCAAAAGTGAAAGAGGGAGAGAAAGAGAGAGAAATTGTGCTATGTCGTCGACGGCAGAGGAGTTCGCCGGGCCTGGCGGTTTTCTTTACCACGTGCCTCAACATAGCCGGAGGGAGAAGCTTCGCTTCCCGACAGATGACTCGTCGGTGGCTACCACGATATCACTTCCTCTCCTTCACCAGTCGAACGCCGCCTTCCTCCCATCCTTTTACTACAACCATAACTTCGACGACTGCGGACCATACCAGATCCAGCCGCAGGGATTCTCTCTTTCTCTATCGCCGGCGACGGTTGGTCCTCTAGGCCCTTTCACGGGCTACGCCGCTGTGCTGAACCGGTCCGGCTTTGTTGAGCCAGCCCGGCAGTTATTGGAGGAGATTTGCCGACTTGGCCGGGGAGAGTTCGCCAGCGTAGGTGGCCGAGATCTGACGGACGATATGACTATGGAGAGCGAGGTGGAAAGGGTAGATGCTGTGGAGGAGGAGAACTGGAAGAAGGTCAAGCTCCTTTCCATGCTTGATGAGGTCTCTCTCTCTCTCTCTCTCATTTTTTACCTTGAGAGTTTTTTTAATAATTAAAAAAAAAGTGGATAAAGACTTGAGTTGTAGTTCTTTCATGTCATGGCTAGATTTTGGATCTTCCTTGCCGAATCTTATTTGTTACTATGTAATTGTATATGCATATTAATTTGCTAATAATGATAATTATTATTGAAGAAAGCGAGGATTAATTGTTGCATAAACATATAATGACTTTTATTATTACTGCTAATCGAATTTAATCTGGCTTACTTGACGTTTATAAGATCATGTGATTAGAGAAGAGCCGGTTGTTCTTATGACAGCACAGTGCAATGAAATTTATCGTCTATAGGTAGCCTTTATGTTAGAATCAATGAGTGGGACTTCAGACTTGGTGCTTTACGAGATGATTGATTTCAGTTCGAGTTCACTTATTTTAAGCCTCTTTATTTATTGACTTCAAAGTTTCATTGTGATGCCTTCATTATATATG